AGTTGCTTGGCTGTTATTCACTGCAAAGTGACAGGTTCTCTCTAATTTCACCCCTCATACAATTCTTACCTTTCCCATGTTCCCCTGTTGCTCTGTTCAGTCTAATTTATGTGGGTTACAGAGTGCCTAAATGATGCATTTTTTTAACCCCCTACCAGGGGCGGGCTGACAACTCATGGGGCCCCCGGGCAATAGGGGATCATGGGGCCCCTGTGTCCTCACCCACACCCAAAAAAGCCTATGAAAAAGCCAATGAAAGGTACCATGTGCATCTCATGGGACCCCCTACTGACCCCGGGCCCTCGGGCACTGCCCGAGTGCTCGAATGATCAGTCCGCCCCTGCCCTCTACTCTTCTTCATTTCTTGTACTGTAGATACATCAGAAAGTCAAAGGGAAATCTGAGAGTAGGGATGCACCGAAATTTCAGTGGCCGAAACATTTCGGCCCAAAACACCCCTTTCGGCCGTCGGCCGTAATGAAAAAAAGTACCAATACAGGTGCTGAAAAAACCCCGCCCCCTCACCGCCGACGCCTGGTAGTTCTCAGCCTTACCTGAGAAACGATCGATCCCGGCGCTGGGCATAGAGATGAGTGAAGCAAAGATGGCCGCCACTCATCTCTATGCCCTTGGAGGACCGGTGCGATGTCACTTCCCGTTCCAGCCATTTTTTTTTTTAATGCACTAGATCAATGCTTTTTTTTTTATCTAACGCTTTACATTGTAGAGGAGAGATGTGGGGTCTTATTGACCCCCGATCTCTCCATAAAGAGGACTTGTCACTAATTATTTCTATCACAAGGGATCAGGGGCGGACTGACAACTCATGGGGCCCCTGGGAAATAGGGGATCATGGGGCCTCTGTGTCCTTGCCCAAACTCAAAAAAGCCTATGAAAAAGGTACCAGGGGCATCTCATGGGGCCCCCTACTGACCCCGGGCCCTCGGGAAGTGCCCGAGTTTCCAAATGGTCAGTCCGGGCCTGCAAGGTAAGCATGGATGACCCTAAACCCCGCCCCGCCTCCCGGCTTCTGAAACTCTTAAAGGGCCGGGAGGCGCCAGTGTGAAGGGGTTAAAAGCTGCTCATTTCGATTTTAGTTTTCGGCTAAATGCATTTTGCATATTCGGTTTCGGCACCACAATTTTCATTTCAGTGCACCACTATCTAAAAGAATTAATTCTATAAAGTTGTCACAGCACCTAGGTGTCTATTTATTTAAAACAAAAAAAAAACAAAGCAAAAAAAAATCCCACTGTGCGTGCCTCAAGAATTCACACAGCCATCATGAATAATCCCCTAATGTTTCTAATATGTTTATTGCCTATGATTGTCAGCTTCATCTAGAGGCCATAATGCAGTATTTCCCTTGTTATGTTACGATCGTCAGTTCCCTCTAGTGGCCATAATTCAGCATTTTCCTGGTTAAGGTATTTCAGGAAAATACTGCATTATGACCACTAGATGGAACCATATTAAATACAATACAGGGCTTATTTGAGATGGTAGTTTGATAGTTGATAGTCTTTCTTGGATTTGGGACTAGGACCTAATATGTGGGCTGGATGGATTCAAGGCTGGAAAGACGTAGGTAAGCCATAGTTCCCATATTTTTTAAAACTTAGTTAGTGAATCATTTAAGGTCTCATTACTCGGCATTCATTTTATCCACTCTTTGACTGCTTAAAAATGGTCTGTAGGCTTCTTCCAAGCTTTGCCATCACTTGAGTAGTGACCAAAAATAAGTATGTGGCCAATTTCTGAGGAAGTATGAAAAGGTCCGGGACAGTATGGTGCAGATGGGCCATCTTCGTGATCTTTGCGACAGCTATGTGGAATAAGGGTTGGAGGAAGCCCAATGCTTCATCTTGGTAGGAAGGGGAGAAGGTTACATGCACCTAGAGGTATAGCGTATATCTCCAAGGGTTTCAATGAATGTGATGGAGAGTAGGAGATATTAGTATCAGTGTTCAACTATGTGGAATAAGGTTTGGAGGAGGCCAGAACGTTTGGATGGATTTTTCATGACCTTCAGTCCCTGTGACAGTGGTCACCATGACTAATAAAGAGGATAACTGTACCCAGAAGGGACACAAACAGCCAACAATGGACAGGGTTTATAACCCTTCTCTACTTTAAAATAAAAATAAATGGTTTGGCTTTAGATACACTTTAATGGCCTTAGCCCAATGCTTCATCTTGGTAAGAGGGGTAGAAGTTTATATGTTCCCCTATACCTGAAGGTGGTGGATATCTCCATGGATTTCAATGGAGATGATGGAGAGCAGAGGAGATGAGTATCGGTGGTCAACTATGTGGAATAGGGTTTGGAGGAGACCAAAACTTTTGTATTTCTCATGACTTTCAGTCCCTGTGGTGATGGTCACCAAGACTAATAAAGAGGATATGTATACACAGAAGGGACACAAAACTGCCAACAATTAACAGGGTTTAAAACCCTTCCCTACTGTAAAATTCAATAAAAAGGTTTGGCTTTAGACACACTTCAAAGACCTTAGCTCAATCCTACATCTTGGTAGCAAGGGGAGAAAGTTACATGTTCCATCATACCTGGAGGTAGTGGATATCTCCAAGGGTTTCAATGGACATGATGAATAGCAGAGGATATCAGTGGTGGGGAAAATGAGCTTTCAAGAGAACCTGTCACTTAGTATGAACTGGAAAAGTTAGGAATAACTTGTGAGTCTTAAATTATGAGGTGTGTTACCCAATTACATGATGTTGTCTCTACAGGAACTCACAGCTAGAAATGTGGTCAGCACACAGACCTTCCGGAGGGTCTCGTGAAGAAGACTCGAACCACTGTCTCCTTTGCTTTTCATGCATTTGTGGATAATCAGCTCTGGAATTGTATATTAAAGTCTAATTTTACTGTATTTGGTGTATCTTCTTTATGGCCCGCTAAATCTCTAAAGACCTCAACAATGAAAATGACTCAAGGTTCTACCTACCTTACCCCCAACTAGTAGACTCCTAGGTCTGAAAAGTAGTTTTGTAGAGTGGGGAAGAGTTACAATCACTGTCCAGTTTTTACTTCGGTCTTTGACCTAATTGGAGAGATCTTCCCTCACTTTCTGTCCCTGTGACACCATGACAAGATATAGGATGTGCAGTTGTCACCTGGACAGGATGGTGCAGACATTGTTGGATCTAGTCCATCCCCACTCTTCTAAAAATGTTTTTGTTTGTGTTCCATTGGAGATATTTTATAGCATTTCTTGTTTACTTACCAACACATCAGTCCTGGTCCCCATAACACAATTACCCATGACCACAGTCTGCCCCAGGCCCCACTCTCATGTGGGAATGTTCCACTCAAACCCAATGGCGCTGCACCTACTTCAGTGATTTACAGCTTCCATGGGCATTAGCCAGGTATGGCATATACATAGTTACATTGATTCATGCCTGGAATTTCTCTTTAGGGCCAACTCAAGTCCTTTGTTGGGCATAGAGGCTCAAACATGAAGAATTGTAAAACATACGAGGGCAAAGTTCAGCTCCAAGTCAAGGTGAAGCAGACATCAAAGTCTCATGGTCAACAGATGATGATCGGAGCTTGGAAGTACTGCAACTTTTTACACTGATAACGACCCAATTGGCTCTCTATAAATCCCAACCTCATGGAAAATTTTGGGCAGTGTGGGTCAGCTCTTGGTCCTGTCAGGATGGGCCCTGACGGCCCACCACTGCTCAAACCTCACCACTAAATATGTGGGGAGCACCCACTCATGGCGCCAAATGAGTATTGTTAGGGACCATCCGGTGGTAGCCTCTAACTTTCCGCAGACCAGAATTCCCCAGGGCGCGGAATCTAAGTCCCGACCTGCTTGCTCACCAGAGCCCCTGATGGTGGGGATGGACTTGGAGCAAGCCGAGACCAGGTCGTGACCCCTGGGTGCAGCCAGCCGTGGTAGAGGCACCTGTCAGTGGTACGCAGCAGGTGAGAGTCTGATGTGAGGAGGCAGAGTAAGCGAGGTCAGACAGGCCAGGTTGGTAACAGGCGGAGCATGTCGGTACAAACGGCAGGCAGAAGAATAAACGGGTTACGGTTCAGGTTCGGCAACAGGGGATCAAAGGTGCAGGAGTAGGCAGGAGAATGGTCAGGCAAGCCAGGGGTCAGAGCAGGAGAAGTCAGCAGATCAGGATCAGGCAGGGTCAGCAGCAAAGTACACTCACAGAACACAGGAAAGACCATACGGTAACTAAGCACTGTCAGAGGCCATTTAAATAGGGTGCCCTGCGCTCCTATTGGTGTCAGGCGCGCGTCCGTGAGTGCGCATGCGCGAGCGCCGCTGCGTCGCGGATGCCCAGGTCCTAGTACCCGCACGCCGGTGCGCCTCGGCACATCGCACATGCGCAGACCCGCGCACCGCGATCCGGCTTGAGATCCCTGACAAGAATTCAGTCAGACTTACACCGATCATCTTAATGAATACCTTATTGTGTTACTGTGCATGGGCAGCAGCTAGAATTAAGGATGGCACTGTAATCCCAGGACACACATCATGGGGACTAAGGTCCAAGGACTAATCCACGACAACTGACATTTATGCTTCCTGCCTTGACAGGAAGTGAGGGGAAATCTCCTTTATAGGAACATAGCTGGAAATAAAAACCACAGGAAGAGCGTAACCCTTGCCCACGTGTCCCCAATGGGAAGATATCTATTCACTATCTGTCCCAGGGAAAGCTGCCACTGGGGCAGAAAGGGAGGGGAAATACAAAATTAGTCACCAAAGCCCCTGAGTTCACAGTTGTCATCAAAGCACTGAGGGAGGGCAAATCGCCCAAAGGGGGGCCCTGTCCAAGGACATCTATCAAATGGGGGATTTCCTTTCACGCAGGGGAGATTCACTCTCATTTCCTGTAGTGTCCAGGATAGAACCTTGAGAGGAAATCTTCCAAACAAGGACTCACTCATGGCTAGGATGCAGTGCACAAACCAGAAGCATCCACCAGGAGCTAAAGAGTCACTCACGGCACATGGCTCCTACAACATTAAAATGTAAGATTTCCCGATGCTTTGGAAAAAAATAAACACAATCCTATTGATTTCATGTTCAGCTAATATATTAAAACAGAACTCCAAAAATCAAATAAAAGTTTATTAAAAAATTAAACTAACAAATAAAATTGTAAAGCCAGTTTTTTTTTTTGCTGTAGTATTCACTTTTAATCCAGAGATTTTCCACCCCAGTTCCTTTTTTCTGCCACTAGATGCCTTTACTAGGATTCAACTCCCTTCCTCTGAGCCCAGGTTGTCCTGGACCCACCCTCGGCCTCCTGTCGTTGCTCCTTTCTTTCGCACTTCAGCATTTTACAGGCAGTTTGAACGCAGGTATAAAGCATTTCCTCAGATTTTTATGTGTAATCTTTTGTTTATTAAGTATTGGCAAATATTACAGGTTCACAATATAGGTTCAAAACGTATTCGAACATGTATATCAACACACGTACAACCAGGGGCAGACTGACAACTCATGGGGACCCTGTGTCCTCGCCAACACTCAAACCACACCCAAAAAAGCCTATGAAAGGTACCAGGGGCATCTCACAGGGCCCCCTACTGACCCTGGGCCCTCGGGCAGTGCCCTAGTGCCTGAATGGTCTTTCTTCCCCTGCATACAAGCAAATATTATGAGAAACATACATTCCTCAGATTTTTAGACAATTTTCCATGCTGTGACCCCACAGGAACATTTTCAGATGTACCTCCTGGTGCGAACATTCATTTCCCACAATGGTTGCACATTACATGCACGTTGGGTGATGTTTGTCCAGCCTCTTCCTAGATTACTATTAGATGTGACCATACACTGGGACTGTAGAGACGTCCAGATTTAATGGAGAGGCCATGGCTCATTGCACAGACATACACAGCATTGTTCTATTCCGACAAAAAGAAACAAAATATCCATGGAAACCCCTGGAGCTTTACAAGTCTGGATGAATACATTCCGGATCTGTCACCATACGCAGCAACAGCATTATTTTTCGAGAAAGCTCCACTTTTTATCATTAAGACGATGTCCTTGAGCTCCAGATAGTGACTTGGCCAAGGCTGAGATGATGCCAACAGCTTGCTGCAAAACTCCAACGAGAGCGCCAAATCAAAGAGTCCAAAGTCTTTTATTATTGGGATTCATTCATAAATACAAAATATAAAACAGCCAACGTGTTTGGGAGTTTAACCCCTCCACTGCCGCCAATGTGTATGTTGGCAGCGGCAGAGTGTAAATCCAACAAGCCAACGGTCTGCTGTTAGGTGGAAGCGATCCAGCCACTGGACATGACCCATGAGGCTGAGCTTTCTGACATCAGGCAGTACGTTTCTCTCCAGAATCCCTTGATATACTTCAGATTTGTGTTTTGTACAGATTTAAGGCACTCCATGCCAGATGCAGCAAAGCAGCTCTAAAGCATAATCTTGTCTCCTCCATGTTTCACAGTAGGCACAGTATTCTTTTCATTGAAAGCCTAATTTTTTTAATCTGTGAACATATAGTTGATGTGGGTAATGGAACCGACCCCAGACTGCGTTTGGGTACTTCCATTAGACTAACGCTTCCCTGTCCAAACACCGACAACAGACACCACAGCCGACTATACAAGACTAGACGGCACCAGTCTTGAAGTAAACCAGGAAGTAGACTAGTTTATTTTAACACAGATACAAGATATATACACTCAAGGGAACAATACCCCCTCCTTGCATAATGACACAGGGCGGGGCAATCTACATTTAGTAACAAGAGACACACCAACAGACAGTCCCATCAGGAGGGAGGACTGCTGGAGACACCCTCCACCAAGCCAAAACACATACATCCCATAATAGTTTGCTCCCAAGCCAGACACACAATAGAACAATGGGATGCAACCACGTAACATCAAACAATCAACAACCCCCCACCCCAATATTAGGACAGATCAACCAGTACCCCTAACAGGCACAGGGTGATTTACATATAAGAGGGATATGGGGAACTGAGACAGGGGTCTCCCCACCTCTCCAAAGTGAGCTTGGTTCCATGGGCCCCCACCTAAAGTGACTCCCGTCACAATGTGTTTTTCCAAGATCCAAACCAGCGGGAAATTCACACGATAAAATACTGCCAGTCCACCGGAATTCCCTACCCCACAGCTAAATGTAACAAAGGGGCAGGGACGCTGGTACCATCATGAACCTAATATGGTAACACAGCCATATTTGGTCAATGGCATTGACCATTGACATAAACACTGACATTCAGTTTGGCCTGAACCTAAAATTTTTGCAAATTCCTAACAGGTTTTTTTATGTTTTTCTTTTAGCAGTTGTGTCCTCCTTGGTCTTCTTTGGAGCCCATCATTGCTCAAAGAGGAACAGATGGTGCTATCAGACATTGATGTACCTCAACCTTGGAGTTCATCTTGTATCTCTTTGGAGGGTTTTCTTGGCTCTATGTCTACTTTTCATACTATCCTTCTGTTCAGTCTTGGTTCCAGGTTACTCCTGTAGCCATGTCGAAGAGTGATGGATACTGAAGTACTTTGACCTTAGAGATCACCTTGTTCTCTTTAGATGTCTTTCTTGGTGCTTTGTCTACCATTCTCACTATCCTCCTGTTCATTCAGGAACCCATTTTCCTTTTCTGGCCGTATCAAAAAGTGGTGGATGGTGCGGACACCGATATACCTTGACCTTGGAGTTCAGCTTGTATCCCTTTGGAAGTTTTTCTTGGTGCTTTGTCTACCATTCATACTATCCTCCTGTTCAATCAGGGGTCAATTTGTCTCTTGTA